GAGTTTATGTCCTCGTGAAATACAAAAATAAAAATCAAGTTACATGTCATATTTAAATCATGCCATATTCAACAGATTTGTTACAAGTCAAGTGCATTAGAGTTTTTACATGCAAGCATGATATGTAACAACATTGGACAATGTTTTAATCTACAGATATTACTTATATAACTTTAACTCATCAAGTTTGAGATTCTATGAATGTAAATCAATAAACCCAAGAATGAACATTGATATCATTTTTGCTCTTTGATATGTAAATTGACAACGATATGGTGAGAAATAAATAGAGAGAGATGAGGATGGTGGTACAATTAAAGAGAGCTGGATGGCGAGAGAGATAAATCTGGAGCACAATAGACAGATGTGGTAGAGAGAAATTAGTAAAATTCAGAGAGCTGGATGGCTATAGAGAGAAATCAAGAGCACAATAAATGGATGCCAGAGAGAAAAATCAGTAGAGAAAATTGTGATAAATGGTTTAATTTATGTGAAATGGCTTTAAAGGTATTTATGTTAAATCATGAGTGAAAATAGTTGAGGTTATTTTTCAAATGGCTTTATGAGGTTGACCATATCTCACAATTTCCTCAAAAAAAAAAATTGTAACATTCTTCTATGGATTTTTCCCCCTTTTAGCTGCAATAACAAGAAAGCAAGTATTCTTGTTTTATTAAAGAGATCGGTTGATTTAGTAAGTTTGTACATCTCTACAGCATGAATAGTTTGTGATCTTTGGACTCCAGTTTTAGCGTAAGGTCATTATAGTTTTAAAGTTGACTGCGTGTACAATACATAAACAAAGCCATTTAAATTTAGTTCACAACATTCTTTATTAAAAATGAAAAAATAAAAATTAAATCTTGTTATAAATAATATTTTTACAAAATTATTAGAATTTAATTTGTGTCTAATTATTTTAATGAAAAAATAAATAAAAAGAAGTTGCAAAAGGACATCCTCATTTAACCACGTGGAGAGCATATCTCCATAGAAAAAAAGAACAAATATTAAAGCAAAAAGTGAGGAATATTGAGGGCCCATAGTTTAGTATGATTAAAGACCTAGGATGACCTGCTGGCCGGGTATGTTGGATATTTCGTTAAAAGAAGGAAAGAAAGCACTTTTGTTTGCCGAAGAAAAACGTGAAGAAAGAGTAGGAAAACTGGCATGTGAATCATGTTTGTTACCTCCTTTTAGATGCAGACAGGCGTATATATCTGGAAGACTTTAATAGTGGAGATATCATCATTGCACTTCTTAATGTGTTGCATGCTGCTTATGAAAATAAAAGGGTGCGACGGCTGATCAACCATTAGGACTTGTGGAAAGCATAGGTCTCTATCGTGAGGTAATTGGGTGGCCATTTTAGTCATGGAATTGGATGTAAAAATCATCATTTATTTATATAATTATGTATAAACAGATTATATCTGGAACATAGCACACAATAAATATAGGTTTTAAAATCATTCAAAATATTTAGATATATATTAATAATTAAAATTAATTGAATAAGTTTTATCTTTATTTACATTAATCATATTAATAATTTTTTAATCTATTCATTCTTTTCTCTGTTTTCTTTTCTTTCGTTCTTTTTTGTCTTTTCCCTACCCAAGGAAAGAGAAAAAAAAGGTATCTTAATTGTAAGTGTAGATGTATAATTAGGTGTAGGTACGGCTGCCAAATAACGTTCCTTTTTTAAGAGAAAAAAAAAGGAAAAAAGATTTGAATTGTCCATAAAACAAATAAAGTCCAAACTAGCTTTGGTGATATGTGAAGCAAATGAGACTGGCAGCACCCAAACCTTAGGTGTTCATGTGTTTCTGCCTTTTGTCTCGAAGAAAAAATCATAAAAATCTAGCTCTGCCTCTACGATTTAAGCTAATTGGAAGTTGGTATCTTTGGTGGGGTTGCCTTTATGATTCAAACAAGATAAACTCTCGTTGGCTCTGTGTTGGAAAACTTGGAAAGGTTTCTAAGTTTATTTTTCATTAAGTAAATTTAATGTTTAAATAATCTAAACTACAAAGAGGTCTGTAGATCTCTCCTGTGCTTTCATTGGAGAATTGTGATATTGGTTGAATCCCTTTTGAGGTCTTCATTGGGGATGAAGCATCTTGGTCCAATTATGATTAGATAACCTTCTGGAGCTATGAACTGTGACTCAGGAACTCCATGACTAGCAGATAAATCAAGAACAGGTTCACTGAGTGCTACAATGTTGCAGAGGCGCTTGTGTGACCTTATGGAGTCTGAGATGATACATTCAACTTTGATTCCTTAGTTTCAGAGCTCAAATACTTCATCCTAGGCCAGACTCTTACATTTAAACTTTTGTGCCCGAAGCTCTATCCCCGAGTGCGGAATTGTTGATGAAAGGAACCATTAGAAGATTTTGCAACATTCTGTACTGCCCATCAGAGATTTTAGTATTACATTTCTTGAGATGGTTTTGAGGTCTCATTAGCAACACATATGGGCGGAGGTAGAGCACTTTTAAAGGCGATCAAATAGAAAGCATTGGAAGATTTTTTTTATTTATGGGATTTATTGTTTTAATAATATTTTTTTATTAATTTTTTCTTTATTTACCCTTCAAGGACGTATGGGATTAAAAATTTTTTTATATTATTTACTTTACTTACACTCTAAATAAGTCATATATATATGTCTTTATCTTGTTAATGAAGTGTAGGATTTTTCTAACTCCGTTCTTTTTAAGTCATTTTATTTTTCAAAAAAAGACACTTAACAGTTAAAGAGAACTGTATATATCTTTTAATTTTCAATCATTTAAAAGATTAAATAAGACTCACAAAACATTGATCATATAAATAAAATGCATATTAACAATAATGACAATGTCATATATATATATATATATATATAATTGAACGAAGCTATAAATGGAGTCTCTCTTACACTTTGTGCATAAGAGTGGAAGAGAAAATAATTTTTCAAACTCTAAATGAATTGCTATTATATACAAAATGGGTAATTTTTTGAGCAAAGTCTCCTCTTATTTTCTATTTGCTTCTTGAATTGCTTATTAACATATTAGGTTGAATTGTTGAGATATAATATGGTATTTATTGAGCTGAATCATTAAGAGATATAATATGTTATAATAAGTTCAGATTTATATTAAAATTCAATAGATTTAAATTAATAGACTTATTTTTAGTTTTTATAAATTTGATAGATTTAGCATATTGGATTAAAATTTATATAATAATTAACAATATACTGATTGACTCCAATTTCATCAAACAATTGAAAGAATATATAATAAATAAAAAATTTTAAAATTTTTGAAAGACCTTAGTGTTCATGATAGAATCATTTTATTATTTTTTATTTATATTAATTATTTAATAAAAAATTATTTTAAAAGACTTATTAAAGATATATATAATATATATAAAATTTTAAAAATTTTTGGGACCAAAGCAGTGTGAAGCTCCGCTCCTGGCAACACAACTTGTGTGCTCAGTTTTAGCTGTACAAGTTCTTCTATTCAAGTCAAATAAAAAATTAGCCTTCGTTCTCCTTCTTTCAAAAAAAAAAAAAAGATATCTAAACTATAAAGAAGACATTGAAGGATTAAAAAATTTTCGTCAAGGATAAGGTGGAAATACGTAAAATTACATCATTGATGATTATTACCTCCTTTGGAAAACATTCAATTACTGCTGCAGGTTAGATGCATTCCTTGCAGGAAAGAGATTCCTATTTGATTTCATTTCCAAAATTTAGCAATGAAACAATTTAACCGAGAGTTTCTCAATAAAATAAAATCACATGTTAATAGTGTCTTTTGTTTTTTAAATTTAGAGAAAGTGTTCGAATTTAATTTTTTATACACTTAAGGAGTTATATATTCACGTATTATTAAACTAAAATTTTCCAATAAAAAAAGAATTAAATTTTCAAACGTATCTACATGTTAATAGTTTGATTCATTGTTAAATTGAGCTGTAATTTAGAAATGTAATTCTAAGGAACTATCAATTAATTCATAGTCCTTCTATAAGTTACTGGCAAGGTATTTGAATCAATATATAGTATGATTTTGGTCCTTCAATTTCATTTTTTCATTACTCTTATTATTTTTCATATTTTCAATCATAAAAATATCAGAAAAATATTTATTGTCTGTAATGTATATAGTATGATTCTGTATTGTCTGTAAGGACTGAAGGATGGAGCAGGAAGTAATAACTTGATACTAGTATTTATGAAATTCTCTCAACCAGTCAATCTTTTTTATGATTCCTCCAAAAGTTCAAGTATAAAAGCTCACACTCTTTTTGCTTCACTTGGTTTTTCTTCTTATTTCCCCCTTGAGTTAAGTTTCATTTTCATGTTAGCATTCACAATAAGTATAAAATGATAAGTTACATTTTTACTAATAACAACTAATCAATGGTTAATCATAAGAGTTTTTTTTATTTTAAACAAAAATGCAATGATTTGCTTAAACATAATAAAATAATATAAATTTTTTTAAAATTTTTAAAATAATTTAGAAGTTTTTAAAAATATTTTGCTTAAAGTAGTATTTAAAATTTATATCATAAATTGATGTCCCAATTAATTTTCTTTTGGTTTTAATAATATTAAAAAAATTGTGATAGACAAAAGAAAGGAGGAAAAAGTTAAAGTTTCAATTTTAATTAACTTTTCAGAAAAAGGTAATAATTATTAGGTAATCTAGTTTGAGTATTCGTAATAAGGACTGTGGCTGATGGGATTGCTACCAACTTCACTTTGAATATGGATGTGAGGATAAGGCTTTCAGTTTTCATATGTGGCTTTTATAGACTGAGGTAGAACAGCAGAGGTCTAAGTTCGCACATTAACAGCGTCGAAAGAAAATAATCAAATGAGGTCCACATCTCAGTGTTAGGTCTTATCATGTCAAAGAAAATGGCGCAATGAGTCAGTGCACGTTTAAAATGTACAAATTATGGGGCAAAAGACCAAAACCACAAAAGAAGAAAGAAAAAAAGAGTTCATAATTGAGCATTGACATCAAACATCAGTGTGTAACTACTACGGAACATTATGCATCTTTCAATTGTGAAGAAGTCGAAGCAACCTTAAGGATTTTTTCAAGGTGGTGGGAGATATCATGTGGATGTGCCTCCACTCTGGGTCTCTCCGGCAAAACCCAACGGCCATCGCTATTCCTTACCATTCCTTTATTCTCGTCCTGCCGCCAATAAGGTGGCACCCCATAATCACTCTTCAAGAAGTTGCTATCCTTGTTAACAAGGGCAATGTCCCTCTTATTAACCAAGCAAAACCGTCGCCCCTTGCCATGGTAGCCGTCGAGCAAGTGTAAATGGGCCTCTAGATTGTGTGCACAAGCAATATCGTTGGTGGACTTGAGAAATGGGCTACTGGTGTGATCCAATGCCAATTCCACCCCGACATGTGCATAACTCCAAGGAAAAGATACAGCCTCTTCTAAATACTTTTGAAATTGAAGCTTCTCGTTAGCAAAAACACCTGGCACTGTTGGTACTTTATCATGCACATTTACAACTCTAAGTACCTTAACTCCTAGCTCGTCACACCTTTCCTTAAACTTAAGATTGCCTACTCGAGGACCGGCAAAAGAGTAAACTGTAATTGGTACTTTATTGCTAAACTCTCCTCCTTCAACAAGATTAAGCCCCAATTCCGCAATATCATAAGCTGTTATTAAAGCCAAAGCTGCCCCAAGGCTATGCCCTGTGATTGTAATACTAATTTCCTCTCCATCATAGTATTCAAGAAGCCTTTTAATCTCAGCTAACACTTGTTCACGAGCCGAAAATGAGCAATAGGAGCAAGAGTTTTCTTTTTTGGTGTACAGGTCATAAAACCCCAACTCCATTTTAATAGAAGGGTCCTTGGTGAAATTTGCTTGATGAAGAATATCTTTGAGATCATAAATCCATTCAAGGTATGTTACCGTACCTCTCCAAGAAATTACAATATCGCGCCTTCCTAGCCGTTTGATCTCTTCTTCGTCAGTGCATACGGCTACGTACCCCATCCAGTTTGCATGGGTGCTCCATACACTGCTTAGATTTGATTTCTGGAAAAAGTTTGGGAGATTGATATTCGAGGTAGCATAGAGGTATCTACTGATTTGGTAGCCACGGTCTGCCATTCCAAGCTTTTCAAAGAAATGGGCTCCTTGGTATTTGCAGGAACCACAGTACTTGGAGTGAGGATCAAAGTCGAAAGAATCATAGCATGCTTGTGCAAATTCACCATAGCGGATGATTTCTCTGCGGAGATGAGGATTCATGGGGTCTAGTAGTCCATCCCAATCGTTGCAGCCTTGAATTTCCTTCCAGATTTGGCAAAGAGGCCTCTCGTCTTCTTCTAAAACTAAAATTTCTTCTAGCTGTGGAGTTAAACTTGACAAGGATGTTGAACGTTTGATACACGTTGATGAACTTGGAAAACAGGGCTTGTATTGGAAGAGAAAATTTTTGGTTTTTTTGTTCAATTTGCATTTTGGTAAGGCACCATGAAAGGTAGGGTCGAGGGTGCACTTTGGATGGTACTTTAGAGAGAAAAGCCGGGAAGCCATGAAAGTTTAGATTTTTGAAGCCGTAGTCTGGGACCTTGTGCTGGAATACTAAAGATGTGAAGCAGAAGTCTAGAATATATGAGAAAAGTTGTTCTATGATAATAAGTTGAAGGCTCCAGTAAATTGGTTTTATGCCTGTGTATTTGTGCCTATATGCATGGGCAGGGGGGCCCAGTAGGTGAGAGCAAAAGCAGAAGAGGATAGGTTTGATGTGAAATTGAGGTACTATTCCACTAGAGAAGCGTGCCACTAGCCACAATTGAATACAGGAAGGCCTTACATAATGTAAGTGTTTGGACTTACATATGCCACTAGTCACGATTGAATGAGTGACAAATGCTCAAGACAAACTGGAATCAGTGTTTGGAGTGTATGGGCTTTATATATGCAAGGATGAGCATTAACTTTTGGTCGGTGAGAGCTGGGACGCGACTATAAAGCAGGCACAATAATGGAAATGGCATGTCATTTTCACCTTCTTCACGCTGAAAATTTTGGCCTTCCAGTGGGTTCTTCATGAAAGGGAGAGGAAGCATTACAAATAAATAAAAGGAAGAGAGGAGCAATTTTAGTACTGTGTCTTGACAGGTGAAAGTGAAAAAGTGAATAATTAGTGTATAGAGGAGAATTAGAGAGAATTTAGAAAGTGAAGCTCTAGATAAAAATATGTTGTAATAGTTCTAAAAAAGCTCTCTTTTTTTAATGAATTATGAAAATTTTATATATGGTGTTAAAAAAGAAGTTTATACAAAAATAAGTTTTAATAGAATAATGAGTAACCGTTTTTAAAATTTATTATGTGGATATTAAAGGAGTAATTTTATTACATATAATAAATAATAGTTAGAAACACATCATATGACTATTAAAGTAATGAGTTTCCTGAGTATTAATAATAAAAAAAGACTTATTTTTGAATAGAATGAAAAAGGAAAAGCTATACGTAAAACGTTACACAATAACAAATTAAAAGAAAAAGATAGTACATGAAAAGATATAAGTAGACAAGGTAAGAGTGAAAGAGAAAAACATTTAAATTTCAGAAAAAAGTTTTAAAAAAAACTTTTTAATAAATAAACCAACAAGTCTCTGAATATCCCAATGTCAAAGTAATCTGTGGACTTTACTACTTATACTAGATTAGTTTCACTGTTAGTATAAAGTAGTTATTACACATAAAATTATTATTCTAATTATCCTAATTGTTCTACATGAAATCGTAATCTACTTATTCACATTATTCTTACTCTATTACTGTAAATCAACTCTTAAAAAATAATAAATTAAAAACCAAAATCAGTTATCTAGCCACTTATATAGCCTTTCAGAGGTTTTTATACATTTGAGTGTCTAAAAATTTTAACCTGAAATTGGAAATTGGAGATTGATACATAGCCTAGCCAAGGAGAGAGAAGGAAGGCTTATTAAAGATTAGAAAATGAATGGAGGGGAATGGTTGGATTTTTCCTATTAAAGGTGGGCATGTATCAGTAGAATTCCATGTCCAACAAGTCCCTTCAGTGCAGGCGTGAGGTGTCCCTCCTACTTTCTCATCTCCAATTGCAAAAAGTTAGTTGTTGAGTGAAAATTTGAAAAGATTTATCATAATGGGAATAATTGCATCCACAAACCCCACAACACTTGTTTATTTTTTTAATATATTAAATTTTTATATTTTGAGAAAAAATCGATTCGAACTTAGATCCTCGTTTGGAAAGAAAGGTGTTGTTACTTGTAATTAAGTTATGCTTTGATTTAGAATCTCACAATATTTTGATATCTATTTATTCCTAAGTTTTATTATACATAAAAATTATCCTTTTACTCCTCAAAAATTTATCTAAGCTAATATCGATCTCAATTTCATGAAGTGATTTCAGAAGAATTATTTATTATAAATTTGATATTTTCTGATGCCACAACATACTCAATTTCCCACGATTTTATCTCATTTCATATATACCTTTATAAATAAAAATCGAACGTCTATATAATCCTTTTGAGTTTAGCAGTAATTTCTTTTTTAATTTTGATCTTAATTACTCGTTATTTATCAATGTCAAAACAACTGGTAGAGTAGTCCACAAATCGTTCACCTAAATTGACTTGATTGATTTATTTTAAATTTTAATTTTAAAATATATTTAAATAATAAATTAAATAGACCAAACTTGAGCTTATCTTTTAGCTTTGGATAGGGAAGGAAATTGATTTTGATTTTGTGAAGCAGTTTTCCTTGTAACTGTGTATGTCTTTTTCCATAAGCTAGAGACCTTATGTTAACAAATTTTGTTAGTAAAAAGTTAAAAGACTTTTTATGACAAGATTGCTTAGTGTCAATAAAATCATCTTTAAAAAAACATAATAATGAGCAAAGGGCAGTACAAGGTTTTGTCATCAGATCACTTGGTAAATTTCACATCTACTTTGGAGCAGGAAGAATGAGAGTGTGGGCACGAAGGTGCGGGACCCAGCGACTAAAATAATGACTAGAGAAAAAGTTGGACCAAATCTTCCATCAATCTAAATAGCCAAGAGACAAAGATAAGAATCCCACCCTGGACCCACTCTTTGAAAAAAAACACATGCCACTGACTCTAAAATGATACTAGCAAACATATCATATATAACAGTATTATTATTTTATAATATATATAATATTATTATTTAATATATCGATGAAATTTTTAAATTTTATAAATAAATTTAAATTCATTATATCACATGTGTCTACATAATTAGATATGGCCAAGTTAATAAATTTTTTACAGAGATGTGATGTGTAATTAAATTCAATTGTAAAATTCAAATACTTCATTATCAGTATATGAAATAATAACTTTTAATAATAAATAAAACATACATGTTAAAGCAAATTTATTAAAATTTTAAGACAAATATATATCTCGTTTAAGATCTATGGCAATATGTAAAGAGTCTCTCGTTATATTTATATACGGCTTATTTGACAAATGTGGAATTTCTCTTATCATTGTCACTTCAGTATACGTACTCTCACTTATGGGGATTACAAACTAATCACATAGCATGAATCAACAAAAAAAAGGTCTACGGAGGAATCAAGGATTGGTTGTTAGGCTTGATTTAATATTTTGTTAAATTTTTAGGATGGATATCTAATCTAAATCAATTGTCAATAGGTGGAGAGATCGTTTTTATATTTATATGCTTGTGATATCTTTAATTTAATAGAGATAAAATTCTTTTTATCGCTACTTCAATTCTTTTTCATTTGTAAGGACTACTGACCTATCATGTAGTATAAATCAATATAAGATTGTTTTATAGGCCAACCATTAGCTAAGCAGTCATCTTATAAAAGCAAAATTATACAAAAGTTTGTGCGACTACATTCATTCGTTCTTCCAGTGATTCATGCTATGTCATAATAAGTTCATAGTCTTTACACATCAAGGGAAGTATTGAAGGTGATAAAAGAAATTCCACTTCTATTTAATTATAAGAATCCTAGGCATATAAATATAACAAAAGCCTTTTCACCTATTGTCAATTAATTTTAAATTAGATATCTGTCTTAAAAATTCGAACTAGAATAACTCAAAGTTTAAAAACTAACAAATCTAATTCTTTAGGATTATTTAATCTCCCTAGTATAAAGTTTGTTGTCTTGTTCATCAAATCCAAAAGGAGCTAGTATGTCTTAGAGTCATGGACTTAGGTCTAGTGGTTCATGTTCCTCCTTTTAGGATGGTTCTCCTGCGCTGAGAAGATTCAATCGCAGGCTTTTGTATGCTTTCAACTTATCGATTTGTCCCTTGACCAAAAACAAATTTTGAAGCATATAATTAAGAGTTCAACTTCAACGACATTGATGTCAGAGAATGAGTAGAAGAAAGGAACACAAAGGTGTAGCCTTGAGAAAATTTCTCATGGTTTTTTTATTCAATCGATGCTCATTGAGCAGAAATATATGTACAATGTTTAAACAGTACAGTAAAGAAGAAAAAGTATAATAATTACATTTAACTGGCTTAATAGAAAATTAAAAAAGTTAACAAACCTTCTTAGTGAAATGATATGTTTCCAACTCCATATGCTCTACATCCTCTTTTATTTAAACGGTTAGTTTTGCTTGTCTTCTTTTATTCTCTGGTTTTTCATACTTCATCCATAACCATAGTCTTCTTATTCTACCATTATTCCTCTTGATCTTTCTTATACTCCCCCTCAAGATGACATGTGAATGTTATGAACATTCATCTTGCGTAGGAGATTGTAAAACTACCTTAGTGAACATGTCTATAAGCTACAAATTAGTTGAGATGTACATTGGTTTAATTGTACATTTAAGCACCTTCTCTATGATGAAATGACAGTCCAACTCAATATGCTTTTTCCCCTCCTAGAAGACTAGATTCTTGCTGATGTGTATTGATGATTGACTGTAAAAATAAAGGATTGCAACATCTTCATGTTCTATCCCAAAATTTGAAAGTAAGTGTTTTAACCAAACAACATCACAACATGTTGATGCCATAAATCGGTACTTCGCTTCTACTGAGCTTCGAGCTACAATAGATTGTTTCTTTGATTTCCATGTTACCAAGGAATCCCTAATAAAAATATTGTATCCAATTATTGATCTCCTTGAATCTTTGCACCCTGCTCAGTCACTGTCATAATAGACAGATAACTTTAAATTTGATTTAGACTTCATCAAGATCCTCTGGCCTGGTGAACCTTTAAGTTATTTCAATACCTTGTGACCTATTGCTAGATGCTTGAGCCCTGGTTTGTCCATGAACTATGATAGTATTTGCATTGCATATGAGATATCCGGTCTGCTAAATGTAAAGTACAATAGCTTTCCAACTAGCTGTCTGTAGTTTATTGGATTAACTAATCTGTCCCCATCTTGAGTCTTCTACAGTTTATGGTTGCAGTCAATAGAAGCGGATATTACCTTAGCACCTAGTAGATCCTGTTCCTCTAAGTGATCTAAGGCATATTTCCTTGGACATATTGAAATTCCTTAAGGAGACCTTGCTATTTCTAATCCAAGAAAATATTTGACCTTTCTCAAGTCCTTAAGTTTGAAATGTGAGCTTAGAAATTGTTTCACTTCTTCTGTAGCCTGTGATGATGTGCTTCCAATCAATATGTCATCTACATATAATAATAGAACAGTGAAAGAACCATCTTTTTTCTTGGTGAATAGGGAATAGTCTACAAAGGACTAATGAAATCCATATTGTAGAATTAGTGAAGTAATCTTGACATTCCATTGCCTGGAAGTTTGCTTCAGGCCATACAATGACTTATGAAGTTTACGGATAAGTTGTGTTCCTTGTGGATACTCCCTTTAGATTTCATACCCTTTGTGGTAGTTCCATATACACTTCTTTTTCCAAGTCACCATTTAGGAAAGCATTGTCTACATCAAGTTGAGATAAATTCAAATTCAAAGCCGTTAACAAAGCAAAAAATACTTTGATAGTTGTATGCTTGGCAACTGGGCTGAATGTTTCTTGATAGTCAAACCTGCTACTTGATTATAGCCCTTAGCAACTAGTCGAGCTTTGTAGCTTTCA